TTCAGAACGATCGTATTTAGCCGCTGAATGCAGACGAGCGGCACCACAATGCCATAATTATCATAATGAGTGAGGAACTGAAGTTTCTTTAAGCTGTAGGCGTGTGTGTGGGGAACACTGGATTCCTGTGCTGATGGTAAATTTGCTGAAATTAATTCATTCTTCTTCGTTTGGACAAACCAAATGTGGTCTCACCTCGATGTTCCTGATGATCACGCTCTTGCCGTTGGTGTACAGGAAGTGGTTCCCTCTGGGGTCTCCGCCCAGGACCTTGGCCACGCCCCTTTCCATGTGCGGCAGGCTGGCGAACACGCTCTCTGCGCGAGGAGAAAAACACTAAAGTTCTTCTGAAGCTAAACTCTGAGAGGTTCAGAAGCAAGTGCAATTCTTAAAAAGTAGCTGCGTGAACGTTTTTCGGTAGCGTCAACAAATCGCGTACAATACAGACTAATCTTAGACACGTGCGAAAGCAAGTTCATCTCAGGATTAGTTCACGTCCAGGATAGAAATCTCCTGATACGTGACTCTCTCAAGACGTCTCTGTGTCTTCAGTCGCAGTGAAACGCAGGTTTCCGAGGAAACATCCAGGGTTGTTCTCCATATAGTGGACTTCAGTGGCAGCTACGGCTGAAGATCACAGCAGCTTCAGAGAGAAAACCCTGCTCTGTTTTTACTCCCAAACCTTCATTTTTATTCTGGAAGTGAACTAAAACTTTAAAAAAATGACACAAATGATCAGCCATGCATGGGAAAGTTAACATAGGAGTGGCTAAATGCACGCATTATATGCAAGTTTACCAGTATTAATCAATATTAATTATTAATTAAACTCATGCGTGTTATGTTTAGTAAGTTACTTTGGCTAAAAGCCTCTGCTAAACGCGTGTAACTTAAATCAGTGTAAATTAAACGTGTCACCTTTGCGGATTTAAGACAAAAGTTGAATGTTTCATAAAACTAAATATTAAGAAAATGATATGGCATTTTAGGGAACACAACACAGAGCTATTATCTTATTCTTAAGTTAGAAACTCCTAATTTTATCCTTAATGTTGTGTTTATCAGCTGCAGAAGTAACACACCCCCGTCTCCCATTGGTCAAGCAAACTGATAGCCCCGCCCCCAAACGCGCGCCATTGGCTGAATCAGTGTCAGGCTGCTCAGACTCATTAGGGGTGTTCGATTCCAAACTGTTCGGAGTCGACTCTATTTGCTTTACATCTAAACAGGGTCAGGAGGAATAACACAAGACTGCAGTCTTAATTTACCCCCCCACCCCCGACGCAATGCGTCATAAATTCCCCCTAAAACCACACACGTTTAGCGTGACTGCCCAAATTAGTCCGATTCCACCGCAGGAGTCGACTCCGATTCTTTAGGAGTCGACTCCCCATCACTGTGACTGATCAATGTCCGGGTCTCAATCACAGGTTTACACGGACTATACACACTTTAAGCATTCACAACAACCTCCCGATACAACACCAACCTTCTGGACGTGAATAATGGTGTTACCATAGTATTTAAGTAACGTTACTGTATGCTTCCGTCAAGGATCCGAGCGGAGTGAACCAGGCCATTAACACACACACACACACACACACACACACACACACACACACACAGGCTCGTCACTTACTGAGCTCGTAGGACATCTCGGCTTTACTTCTCTTCCGGTGACCGACTGAATGAGCGTCTGGAGGCTGGAGGCGGCAGAAACGGCCCGGGATCGGAGCGCTGAACGCGGAAGAGGCGGCGGCTCGCGGGCGGCTCGGCTATGCCCATATATAGTAAAAGCGTTCGGGCTCGATCAGACCTGCGCACGTGCGCACGCACGGAAGTGACGTGGAACGGGAGGAAATGACCGATGATGGTGTTTATGTTTATGATGTGCTTTCTGTAAACCTGTAAACATTTCAGCCTTTGAGCATTTAGACGCTTTGAAATCCAGCCATGTGCTTGCATATATATATAATAACGTTACACACTGCTGTTCAAAAGTTTGGGATCAATCATGTGTTTTAAAGAAGTTTAAACAGATCCCAAAAAATATTGTGCAGCACTTTAATCATTTCCATCTAATATAGGATTCTGAGTGGACAATCACAGCATTCTGTCTCTCTTCAGTTTCTATGAATAACTCAATAAAAGTCAGTATCTCGTGTGTGTGCGTATGGCTGAGTTATTAGCAGCCATGAGTGGGACATAATGTACATTGAGCCGATGGTTAATGTAACGTGAGAGAAGCCTCCCAGACCACTCTGTGCATGCTGACTGTACATTATTACTGTATACGCTGAATCATCGCAGACGGAGGTTTGGCTTGTGCTTTAGGACTCAGAATAACCAGCTGAGAATCATCAGAGTCATATTTATATCCAGCTACGGCATGTAACTGAATAATGAAGATGTAGTGCTACAGCCTTCAGGTTACCGGACCTGAATCATCCACTTACTTAGATGCACCCCCATGCAAGCCTGTAGAGCTCAGTGAAGCTGCTGTGAAGCTGCTGTGAAGCTGCTGTGATCTTCAGCCCGTAGCTGCCACTGAAGTCCACTATATGGAGAACAACCCTGGATGTTTCCTCGGAAACCTGCGTTTCACTGCGACTGAAGACACAGAGACGTCTTGAGAGAGTCACGTATCAGGAGATTTCTATCCTGGACGTGAACTAATCCTGAGATGAACTTGCTTTCGCACGTGTCTAAGATTAGTCTGTATTGTACGCGATTTGTTGACGCTACCGAAAAACGTTCACGCAGCTACTTTTTAAGAATTGCACTTGCTTCTGAACCTCTCAGAGTTTAGCTTCAGAAGAACTTTAGTGTTTTTCTCCTCGCGCAGAGAGCGTGTTCGCCAGCCTGCCGCACATGGAAAGGGGCGTGGCCAAGGTCCTGGGCGGAGACCCCAGAGGGAACCACTTCCTGTACACCAACGGCAAGAGCGTGATCATCAGGAACATCGAGGTGAGACCACATTTGGTTTGTCCAAACGAAGAAGAATGAATTAATTTCAGCAAATTTACCATCAGCACAGGAATCCAGTGTTCCCCACACACACGCCTACAGCTTAAAGAAACTTCAGTTCCTCACTCATTATGATAATTATGGCATTGTGGTGCCGCTCGTCTGCATTCAGCGGCTAAATACGATCGTTCTGAACGCACCTTACTGTTTCTACGTTTAGAACGTTTTATCGCTGCTTCTACAAAATGTTTTTATTCAGTTTGTCAAGGTGCTGCAAATTGAATAGTTATTAATTATCATGTCTTGCACATGCAGATTAGTCTATTGTAAATGCAATTTTTAAAAGATTTAACATTATTACTGTATACGCTGAATCATCGCAGACGGAGGTTTGGCTTGTGCTTTAGGACTCAGAATAACCAGCTGAGAATCATCAGAGTCATATTTATATCCAGCTACGGCATGTAACTGAATAATGAAGATGTAGTGCTACAGCCTTCAGGTTACCGGACCTGAATCATCCACTTACTTAGATGCACCCCCATGCAAGCCTGTAGAGCTCAGTGAAGCTGCTGTGAAGCTGCTGTGAAGCTGCTGTGAAGCTGCTGTGATCTTCAGCCCGTAGCTGCCACTGAAGTCCACTATATGGAGAACAACCCTGGATGTTTCCTCGGAAACCTGCGTTTCACTGCGACTGAAGACACAGAGACGTCTTGAGAGAGTCACGTATCAGGAGATTTCTATCCTGGACGTGAACTAATCCTTTAACTCAACGCTTAAATATATATATTAATACAACAGTGCGTTCTGGCTCTCAAATCTGATTGGTTGAGAACCGTGAGATATTGTAGGAACGCCCTTTCACCGTTTGTATCACTCCGCTGGTTCTAGCCGGGTCTATGTTTTTTGAGCTAATCGTAGAGTACGTTAGTTAATGTAAGAAGAAGCGTCTAGCTTTGCGGTCTCTCTCGCTCTCATTTGGATGCACGTCGGGGTTGGTGTAGGACAATAGAATATACGGTCTGTACAGTATAAAAACCATTAC